GGTTATGTCCTGTTTTAGAGGTTTGTGATGTCTTGGTTAGTTTCATATGATAAGCATTCACACAATTAAGCTTGCATATTAAAAAATTAGGCTGGGATGGACATCGAGAGGTAAGAAGTCAGAGCTATTTGAGTCTTCTCACTACCAACTCAATTCAGTTTCTGCATTAACTGTTGGGGACCAATTCTTCGTATCAGAAACTTGAACCCTTTGAACAAGGAGTTGGTCGAGACCTTCTGTACAGGAGTAACTAGCTGATCCAACAAAGGGTATACAAAACATTTACCTGTGATGGCTAATTTTCCTAAACAAAGAGTTGAGACTATGATTCCCAGGAGGGCTCTCAGCGTTTTCTCAGCTGGCACATCATAACACTGTGGCCAAAGCACATCTTGTGCATATCCAATTATATGGTAACTGAGAACATGGGTCAGGCGCTTCTCAGAGATGGGTAAGATTTGCCTTTTGATTATGCATCTGTCCCCTCTCTTGCCTTCTTATTCATACTGTTGTCCACTATTGTTCTTTCTTATGTTAGAAAATGACACCAAAACTTTCGTTATGATGAGAATATGCTCCTAACCCATCATCAGTGCATGAGTGTGTGATCACATGTGAGTAAGAATACATTGCTCATAATGAACAGGCTGGTACAAACCCGTTAACAGGGAGGTAGAATGTCATTTCTTTTTCAGCTGAGCCTTTTAATAATAATAATAATGGATTGGATTTATATAGTGCTTTTCAAGGCACCCATAGCGCTTTACAATGCCACTATTCATTCACTCTCGCATTCACACACTGGTGGAGGCAAGCTACGGTTGTAGGCACAGCTGCCCTGGGGCAGACTGACAGAAGCGAGGCTGCCATATCGCGCCATCGGCCCTTCTGGCCAACACCAGTAGGCGGTAGGGTAAAGTGTCTTGCCCAAGGACACAACGACCAGGACAGAAAGCCCGGGGATCGAACCGGCGACCTTCCGGTTACAGATATGCTTCCCAACCCCCTGAGCCACGGTTGCTTGGCAACCGTGTCCGGCATTGGGAGGAAAATTGAATGTGTGTCTACACTAGATTTACCAACAAGTATCTCACTTGTTGCATTTAAGAAAAATTATTTAAAAGGATAAATTTTAAAAGCAATTCAGTTTTTTTACTGGGCATATGTACAGACCTGAGAGTAGCATCAGTTGTTATCCAACTATTGTCAAGTAGGGAAAACCAGCTTCCTTAAAACTGTATCTAAAATGCAGAGAACCAAACAATTATGTATTATGTGCAGCCTTTCAACAGCCAAACAATCATGTACTGTAAGAAGCATAGTGAATGTTAATGATCAAGAACAGATGGTAGGCTGCACCAGTTTTGCCAGCAGCAAATTTACATTATGACATGGAGTAAATGTATCATTTAATTACGTTCATGTACCATATTTCAACATCACTGCCTATGTTTGCAATGAAAAAAAAATAAGACAGTGTAAGTAACTTTTCAATACCTAACACAAAAGCAAAGAAACTCTAGTAAAAAATGTCTGTATGTATTAAAGTGTAGGCACAATAAGCTTAAGCTTCAGCCTATATAATCTTAATAAATACTTTTTGTTATTCCCTTTGAATTTAATTCTTGATTGTCAACATTTATTTATTTGAATAAACTTTTATTTTTTTCTGTTTTGAAAAAGAAAATCCTAATAATGACTGAAATAAATATCAGTATCAGTAAAAACCAGTGAGGACCTGTACATACTGTCATCTAGCTGAGATCTGTATCAGGTTTTTGTCCCTCAAATACTTTGTTGCTCATTTGTATTCCCTCCAGTCGTTCCCCGTGAGTGTCTGCGGAGAATGACAGAGACTATAGATGTTATAACTCTGAGCACGACACTAGAGATGAGCCCGCTTTCTTTTGCACTCATTTAGGAGAAGGTCGCTACAGGTGACAAATGAAACCATAAGGGGAAAGCGGGAAAATGTTGGAGTGGAGAAGGGTTTATAAAGACAAGGCACTGCGGGTCTTAAAGAATTCTCTCCATGCATCTGCCATTATCCCAGAATGCCTGTCTTCTGTCTCGAAACAGACCTGTGAGCCAGTGAGCCCGGGGATATTAATTTGCAGCCCTAATGTTCTGTGGCAAAGGAATTCGAGTCATCTCCACACAAACAAATTGGATCTTACAGCTCATCTGCATTGCAAGACATGCATGCAGGTATGACAAGTAGAACACCTCCAAAAAGCAGAGGAGGATAGGGCTGAATTTTTCAGTGTGCCTACTATACAGTGGTCAAGCTGGGTTCAAAATAACAGAAGTGAAGGAAGGGAGAATAGCTGTGTATGAGTTCTATGATTGAAAGGTCTCTGATGAGGTCCTGACTGCAGCTGACCGGTGAATCTGAATCAAGTTGTCAGAAATGATAGCAGGGATATTGAGTTGGGAGAAAAAATAGAAAACAGTGGAGGACAATGTACAAAAAACCCCCAAAACAAGTAAAAGAACAGAAATGTTGTGACAGTACAGAGTAAAAGCGGTGAAATGGAGGTATGAGCATTGTTTCAGAACACTCAGGCTATTACACAGCATCACCTCCCTTTGGACTTCCCCTCCTTTTTCTTCCCTGTTGTCCATGTCTTGGTCATCCTCGCTCATGATCTTGACTATTTCTGATCCTCAAACATTCTGGCTTTTTGTTGATCTTTTTTCTCCATCTTGCTTGGTAGTGCACTGGTCCAAATGTCAAGTGCACAACACACTATACATGAAAGGAAGGAAGTTTCAATTCCTAAAATCCCTGGCTGCAAACACAAGAGTTTCTACTTTAAAGATCAAAATGACAAGATTGTGGTCAGGACTCCACTTTCGTGCTGTTAAAGACGGTTTAGATGGATTTCCTTTGAAGTTCACTTACATTAAGCACTTGAAATTCACATTAACTCTATGAAGAATGCCTTGAACTTTAAATAAAGCCCTTCCTTTAACATAAGGAACAGATACATGCCGCTGAAAGACCTACCTACCTACCTACCTATATGATGGTCAGCAAAAATCTTGAAATACAACATAATTGTGATTCACCAGAATAAAATACAGTTTCTTTTTGAATGTGCAGTACACTGTTATTACCCCTGGCTATAGAATGTCTGACACATTCAAAATAATACAGCTAGAAAATATTGATGTGTTAATGGGTGCGTGGATTAAATGTAGCAGGGATACTGAGAAATCATAATCTTATTATTTATAATTGGTTGGGAGATCAATCAAGGTTCAGCTTAATATAGGGAAAGACTGAATTATGCAGTAAATGATTATTGAGTAAACTTGCTGTTTCGTGTTAATGAAGCGTCCTAGTTCATGTAGCCGTTTGAGATTGCAAAGTTAATGTAGTAGTTTAACTTAATGTTTAGGGGTTTTAAGCCAGTTAAGGTCTCAAAGAATGAGCGTCTCAAATTGTGATTAACAGACCAATTTTATAATGTGAGGAACTACTGTCATGTACTTTCATAATGAACTACTGACAGTTTTAACTAATTATTTACCAAATAATTTAACTGTGAGACGAAAACAGAAAGGATATAT